GATCCTAGGAATGATCATCTAATGGGTTGACGGTGGCATTATTAGCCTAAATAGGCAAGGTATACTCTAACTGTTAGACTTCCACCACCAGGAACCGTTCTGCAACCCCCCCCAGCAACACAGAGGATCCGCGAAAAGATCCTGAAACCTAAGTCTCAAACCCCTTAACCCAAAACCCGCCACCTCTGCGCCCTTGCGCCCTAAACATCTAAACCCTCAACCCCCAAAGCCCTACACGCCCTAAACCCTTGAACCCTAAACCCAAACAGGTCTGGCCGGATGGCAAGTCGAGCAACCAGGCACGCATCCCAGGCGCCAAGCGCCGTCTGGGTCCCGGCTCTTAGTGGCTTCGGGCTCTTGGATTGAGGGTTTAGGACTTAGGTCTTAGGGCTCACGGTTGTGGGGCTTTGGGGTATAGGGCTTCGGGGCGTAGGGGGGCTTAGGGTGTGGGGTTAAGGGTTGTTAGGGGCTTCAAGATTCAAGACCTTCGTAGAGTTGTGGGGCATAGCAGACTGAGGTCAGGTGGCGGCTAAAAGTGGAAACGGTTGCTAGCCATTGGGGCTATAGCATGTGCAGTTTTGGGCTTTCGGGTTCGGGGTTTCTCCGTTGGCCGGATGAGCTTTTGAGAGCATTGCGACATGGGGTTGTTCGACTTTAGGGGCCCGAAAAGATGGGAGTAAGAGTATTCCGTGAGTATCCCTACGGCACAAGATATATGGCAACACCCATTTCGAACCATTAGGTTCCCTGCATGACCTCAGTCTCCTTGCGAAGGCTTCTTGACCCATTGATGTGAAGTAGGTCGGCACGGATCACCGGTATCAGTTTTCGTGTTATACATGATTATAATCAGGAGCCCCCAAAATAGTATTGGTAATTATCTAGGCCCCTATATTGGTACTCTTCTTGTCACGTTCGTGTTGCAAGAACTCGAGGCATCGCAGGTGCCGTTGGTCACTGTCGCCTCGAGTGTGGCAGGTATCGTGAAGCAGGAGAAACTAATCGTTCGTGTCAGCTCTGTGCATGGATGCCATGTTTTGCTGCTTTCATGCCAAGCACACAGCGAGTCTCTGCAAATTGGGCGCCGTTTCAGTGTCTCGTGTGCCTGTTGCTGACGCAGCCACGTATCCGTCCTCTCCAAACCCAGGACTCTGAATAGCCCGAAGCCTACTGCATCTGGGACGTCCCGAAGCCCGAAGCCCTCAGCATTTGACCCTGCAACCCGAGTCGAGATGCAACGAAGTTGCCTATTTGTCGTACCTTTCTACCATTGGCCGTAAACCTCAGGCCCTGAATCCTAAACCAGTTTAAGCTTTACTTTGGAGATTGCTCTGCAGCCGCAGCCCTGACTGAGGGCCGGACGAGAACCAGTTCCTGTGCGCGCGGCGAATCCTGAAAAGGCAGGTCCTATGGTCTTGTTACAACTGAGCCTGATTAAGACACCCTGGGTCTTTGTCAGGGTTCTTTGTATGAATCCCAATATTATCGGGTTAGCCAGGTTCCTACATTCAACTACAGATTATTCCAGAATGTATGTATGCATAACGCGACCCTGCAAAACCCGAGGAAAAAGCGATGGAAGCACTTATCCAGCATTGTCGGCCCCTGTAACATGGAAGCCTGTAGAATTGGAAAACCCATTGCCTAGGATTCCTTCCTTTGCAAGAGGCAGAATACTACAACACCCCCCCCCCCTCCAACAAAAAAAACACCCTCTGCAGCTTCATTCAGGCCCCTGTACGAAAGCCTTACAGTCACCCTTATGGAGCCTTTCATGGAGCCCTTCTCAAGCAACCCCTGGTCTGGTTTTTATAGCAACATGGAAGTTTCAGAGACGAAGATCGGTACTCTCTGTGTTTGACCCCTGCGAGGCAATTGGAGATCGACGAAAATGCCGTCCGGCTGGCGTGTTTTGCGGCCAGGTGGTGGATGATGGGAGCCTCATAGACCTTGCTTTGCCCAGAAAAGTACGCCGTATATGGCAGTAGAACATGGCCCACGGCCCCATGCCGATGATTTTGGCCTGTGAGTTATCTGGGAGGGTCGTATCTGCAAAGCAGCATGCCTTGGAGCTTTACCGTGAGTCTTAGCTGCGGATCTCACAAGCCTCTCCACGGTCGTTAGGAGGCAGTGTGGAACCGATGTGGTGCCCTTCCTGCGCTGTGCTTATACCAAAGCCGTGAGGAACACTCGAAAGTCCCAGAAACCTTCTCCCTTCGCTCGCAGAAGCAGGTGCGAATCTCACAAGAGGTGGGCTACATCGAAGAGGATCGCAGCTCCAGGAGTCCTTTGAAAGAAAAAGGGTAGGGTTTAGGGCTTAGGGTTTAGGGTTTAGGGTTCTTTCTTTTGAAAAATTGGGGAGAGTTATGAGGGAATTGGGGCAGGGGTAGGTTTTTTTTTCTTCGGGAGGCCATAGGGTTAGATTGTTTTAGTACTCGGGACGTGCTGAGGATTAATTACGCATTCTGGCATTTGATTTTCGGGTATTGGGTTTAAGGTCTTCGGAAGGGGTCTTGGCAGTCGAGGTCTGACCCTTCTCCTCAAGTAAAGATGAATTTGAGACACCAACGCTCTCCTCTGATGCTGCTTACGCCTCCCCGACTTCCGGTTAAGTCTGCTACCAGGAAGCCTTTTGGGGGTTGAGACTTTCGGATTCAGCGCGCAGAGGAGGTCACGCAGGGAACTCAAGAAGCGGTTGGACAAACCTGATTGCAAAGTTCCTTCTAAATCTGCCTAAACCCTAAACCCTAAACCACTGCCCGCCTTTGGACCTCAAACAGCACCAAAGAGCTTCGCACCAAAGCCGGGGCTGTGGATCCATCAGCTCTCCTGCATAACCGGAAGAAACCCCCAGCCTAAGACCGTGAAGAATTCATCATGGTTTCATGGTTTCGGGTTCCATTCCGTTGTTCTGGATTTAATGTGGCGGTCTGAGTTGTCAGTAACAGGGACCCCTCCGAATATTCAAAAGCACGTATACTTTCGTAGTATACTGTAACGCACAACCCTACTGTAGTTGTTAAGGCACCGCTAAGTCACAAGTCTCCACTTTGAGTTCAGAACCCCGTTGTTCCCAAGTCGTGCGAGCTGAGGTTACCCTGGCCTCAAGACGGTGCGGCCGCCAGCTCTACCTCGGGGTCTAGACTTGGAGGTTGCCTTTTTGATTCCAATGCAGGCGCCTTAATAATTGCCTATATTATTTTGGGGGCTCCTTGTTCTAGTTAGAGTATAATGTACCCCAAAGCCCAATTCTATTATTAAGGCCCCTACATTAGACTTAGAGGTCGCCTTGTGTTGAGTCCCATTGTGGGCGCACGCGGGGGCAGGAAACTTGGAGTGGGGGGTCTCGGACTAGGATAGCCTGATCGTAGGTTGGAGGTTTAGGGTTTAGGGGCCCTAAACCCTAAACCCTCAAAGGGTTTGGGGTTCAACGGACCTCCCGTGTCCTCCAAGGATGTTTCAGGGACCGATGTCCTACCGCAGGATGAGAGCCGCAAAGATCCTACGCCCAGAAACCTAGAGGCTCAAACCCAGACCCCATGCCCGAAACCCTTAGAGCTAAGGGTCACTACAAGATTTCTCCAAGACTGTAACGGTTACTATGCGGGTACTTTAGGTTTTATGTTTCTTTGGGTGGCTTTAGCCAGGAGCTCGAAGCCCGAAGCCGCAGAGCGAGTGGTTGCTTTCGGATAGTATTCGGTTGAGGCAGTAGCCGCGGTTCTGGTTCTAAGTCGGCCCTTTCAAGTAAGGTTTCGGCTCTCCGAAGCCCCTAACACCCATGCCACAAGCTGAACCACCCCAAAACCTAAACAGCCTAAACCATGAACCCTAAACCCTAAACCCTAAACCCTAATCCCTAAACCCTAAACCCTGAACCCTAAACCCTAAACCAAGGTCTACCGAAAGCGCATCATCAAGGGAGAGGTCATTCCAGGCCGACCTGCTGCGAGTTCGGAGAACACCCAGAACTGGGAACCTAAGACCGGCCCTAAGGTTAAGGGTTTAGGGTTTAGGGTTTAGGGTTTAGGGTTTAGGGTTTAGGGTTTAGGCTTTCGGGTTTAGGTTAAGGTTTCTAAACCCGTTGCCTGGCGAGGTCTGAGCATGCTAGGGACCCTACTCGAAGCCCTAAGCGCGGACCCTAGGATCCTAAACTGTAAACCCTGAGCCCCAAGCAAAAGCTCCTAAACACCTAAGCTCGTAACCCTAAACCTAAACCCTAAACCCTGAGCCCTGAGCCCGAAGCCGCTTAAGCCCTGAACTGCGAGACTTCACCGAAGTGGTCTCCAGAGTCTTCCCGGGGTCGTCCTCGGGAGGACCGGGCTTAGAAACGATGCGAGCTCCCAAACTGTAAACCGTAACATAGGGGCCTTAGTAACAATTACCTATACTGTTTTGGGGGTTCCTTATTCTAATTACAGTATAATGTACCCCAAAGCCCTTTTCTGATGATTAAGGTCCCTCTATTAAGGTGCTTGCCCCACTTTTGAAGGCCGCCTGAGCACCACCGCTTCGAGACATGGCCATCTCAGGATCATCGTCGGGGTTTCAGGGTTTAGGGGTGACGGTTTAGGAGTTTAGGGTTTAGGGTTTAGGGGTTTAGGGTTTAGGGTTTAGGAGTTTAGGGTTGAGGGTATAGGGTTTAGGAGGGCCCCTTTGAGGAATCCAGCAAACCGTGGAGCCCTAAACATGAGCCCCAACACCAACTCCTCCACTCCCGAGCCCCAGACCCCCCAAAGGGAAGCCTTTAAGGCAAAACTGATGACAGAACCCCTAAACCCTAAACCCTAAACCCTAAACCCTTAAGTTACAGAAACACCGAGCTCTGAAGCGCTTCTCCCCAAACCGTAGCCCATGGGAGAAAGCCCGAAACCCTAGAACCCAAAGCCCTCCAAGCCCTCAGCCGAAAGCCCTAAGCCCTAGGCTCATGAACACCACAACCCCTAAACCCTAAACCCTAAACCCTAAACCTTAAACCCTAAACCCTAAACCCTAAACCCTAAGCCTTAAACCCCAAGAAGCCTTCGAAGGTGCATGAGACGAGGTTCCTCGGCCTTCTTGGGTGTGGCGAAGTTCACAATTCTGGTCGAGGCCAGCCTTCGGGAGAGGGCCCTGTTAGGGTTTAGGGTTTAGGGTTTGGGGTTTAGGGTTTAGGGTTTAGGGTTTAGGGCACACCGGAAGCCCCAAACCGGACCCCTCTCAATTCCGATATTCTAAGGACCGCCAGAGTCCTGAACAGTTCGGCGTTCAGGGGCGGGAGGACTCAACGCACTCAGCGTTTCAAGGATGTGGATTCAGACGCCCGAAACTG